GAAGTCTTTAGAAGTCTTCTGAAGTCTTGTGAAAATATGAAGTCACAGCGGCTGAAGTCTGTTGAAGTCTGTTGAAGTCTTTTGAAGTCTTGAAGTCTTGAAGTCCGCTGTTTCCCCCTTGAATAAATATTGAAGATTTTCATTTTTTCATTCTATGAATCTATCAAAAGAAATACATAACAAGTATTTAGTTCACTTAGATGTTCATAGTTAGAAAACTTCTATCGATATATTATTGATTCATATAGAAATAATTCATATACTGTTAAATGAAATGGCAAACAATCGAAAATACTGTCTAGTTAATAATATCTGATCAGAATGAGAATGAACAGATAAACATTTTACGATAGGTTAATTCTAGACATAGGTATCTCAAGTTTGACAATCATAATGACAGATTAACTAAGAAAAGAAACAAGTCGTTAAAAGTTAAGAAAGGAGATAAAGACTGATAAATTTAATCAATTTAGTTAAGCAATAGTGACATCTAGAATTCCAGTAGTATGAATATCAACAATGGAGAAGTTATTTTTATTGACGAAAATGCAGATGAACAAGAGAAAGAAGAAGTAATCATGCAGATTGAAAAAGCACAATAATAATCATAATAAGAGAGTGAAATTAAAAAAAGACACATTTAAACGATAAAGACAAAAGCATAGATACAGAAAAAAATCGAATAAAAATCTAGTCACAATATATATTATGTTAAAAATGGAGAAAACAAAAAGAAGACATTGAATAGATATATAGTTCGTATTAATATTGTTACTCCGAAAGACTGAATTTTTTCTTCTTTTTTGTAACTGCTTTTCTCAATTTTCGTCGAACTTTGTCAGATAAACTACAATATTGCAAAGAAAGTAATTTCAATGTTTGATTCTGCTCAATTATTTGAATAAGAGCTTCGATTGATTGATCAGTTATTAATTTATTAAATGAAATATGTAGTTTTTCAAGAGGTGGACAAGTTGAATCATCATTGACACCACAGAGTACATCAGCAAGTAATCGAACACCATAATCTGTCATACCCGTATTAGGTAATGCCAGAAAAGTAAGTGATCGATTTTTTTGTAATAAATTAGTTAAATATTCGACTCCTTTATCTCCTATGTTTGGATTGTTTGAGAAGCTAAGATATTTTAATTTTGTACGTGATGAAATTAATGTATCAACGAGCATTTTAACGCCAATCGATGTCAAATCATTATTACGTAAGATCAGGCCAATACATTTTGATTTATAGTCATAAAAAGCTCGTTGTATGATTAATATCATATCATGATCGGTTATATTCATTGAAGATAGATTCATTATACCAAGAATTTCCATTTCACGATTGTCTGCAAGCTTCTCTTCTAAAGAAATATCTTTTGGATTTGTATCTTCTGATAGATTTAGCTCTTCTCCATCTGTTTCATTGATATTCTCTTCGATATGTTCGTTTTTTCTGGAACTGTTGTCTTTGTTTTCTTGTAGATTTTCATTATTATTATTATTATTATTGTCAATCTTTGAAAATAATAACAAAATTGATAAGTGTGTACTTTATAAGTTGCTCAAAACTTCTAAAAATAAGTATGAGATCGTGAATTTTCTGAGTCTTATAAAACGTTAGATTGATGTATTTAGTCGACTTCTCAATAAGACAATAAATTCCTATAAGAAAATAAATGTTGATCTCTGTTGATTTGATTCTTCTAGTAAAAATCATTGAAAAGTTTAGTCAGAAAGTTGAACAATCAGATAATAATCTTTGTCTTTATCATTCAATTCTCTATAAATAAGTGAAACTCTGAAACTTTTCTTCAAATATTATTTAAAAAAAAAGAATTTTTCGAAATTTCAAAATAATAATTATTGAAAATCTGTAATAACAGTATATTATCAATTCTAATATTATCGCCATAAGTTTTCGTACAATTTTCTTCCATAGAAAAATAATCCCTAATTCAAAGATGTTTTGAAGAGAAAATTCCTTAATGTTACCTTTAATTTTGAAAGAGACTCTGCAAGTTGATGATCATTATTTTTGCATTCAATTTGTGGTTCTTCGATTGTTGATACATGATCATCATTATTGGATTTAAAATTGTATTGTCTCGAGAAATTTCCAGCTTCAAATTTTTCTTCACTGGTTGGAGCCAGTGACAATCGACATTTACCTTTCCTAATCAAAACATTTTAATAGATAAATTATCTTTCTCTTGTTCGTTTTATTCAGATAGATAAACAATATATTTCTATTTTATTACTTATTATATAATTCAATAAATATAGAAAAATTCATTTAAAATGTAAATCTTCTTTTATTTATTACAAGAATTTTACAGAATAAAATATCTTGTAAAAATAAGATCTAAGTTAAAAAACAAAAAAGGGTACGAGAAATTCTTATTAAATATATGTTAGGTACGTCTTCGACATAGAATAATTGTCTAGCAGATCAATTAGAGAAGCAACTTCGTCTAACATTTAACATCGACTGAATTTTCTTAGACAGTTATTATCAAATATACGAGAGATCTAATGCTTAGTCAAATATTGGAAATATCTAGCTTTTTATGATTCTCTTTCGATTTCCGAGTTTCGAAAAGTTTATTCTTTATCAAGAATTCGTATTCGATTAGTATAATAGAAACAACCCGAATAAAAATAGTTTTTGTCTGAATAGAATTTTTTTTTCTAATAAATATTTTACATCAAATGATGAAAACAATAAAAGAAAGCTTTCATGCATTTTGACCTTTGATAAAACTTCTATATATTGATTTAGTGTATCATCATTAAAATGATTTATTTGTTAAATATAATATTTACTAAATAATTTTCAGAAAATAGAATCATACATTACCTGTTTTTTATCTTTTGATTATCTAGCACGGACACAATTGATACTTTTCTTGTTTCTTTAACATGTTTATTTTCAGAAAGCTGTTTAATGTCTTGATCATTTTTACGAAAAAGGATTTTTTCACGAACAAGATTGCTAAATGAATGAGTTCCATTGCGAGATTTCATGTTTGTACTTTGATACTTCTATATTTATTCGAAGATTTTGTTTTTAAATGACATTTTCATGCTTTATCGTCGGAAAAAAACAATTAATGACTTTGGTCTCCATCGCGTGACTTCTAAATTTTTTTTTATCGTCCATAATTCGATCATTTTCTCCGAGTAATTGTTGTGCATTAACTGGGCAACGATCAACAATAATAGTCAACAGATAAATAAAGCTTAACTTGTTTTCATTTGAAACCGGTATGTACATAAGAGAACAATTTATCTTTATCAATAAATCTTAACTTTTCCTTAATAAAAATCTAACCGACATCAATCATTTTCTAATCAACTTTATGAAAAACTAACTCAAACTGATCTAACTGTAAATCAAACAGAAATCTATCACAATTTATTTTAAAAAAATTATTTGACGCCCGATTTAACCTCTGAGATAAAAACTGCGTTAGAAAAAAACATTAGTCTCATCTCAAAATTGAAAAACAAAACAAATAAATATATAAGAAATAAAAATCTTGCAAAAGGTAAATTTAACATATTATAATCAATAGTTACATTGTTCAATTTACCAAATATAGTGAAACATAAAATAATAAAATTTATCAACGGAATTTCAACAAGGATAAAGCTAAGACGTGAAACTCGCACATTTTCTTTTTAGAATTTACCAATAAGAAATCCAACATTGACCAAGAGTTGTTTTATAAGAAAAAAACTTCGAGAAAACTCAGGCTATTTTTAATTAAAATTCGATGGAAAACACAAAGCTTTTTTAAAATTTAATTAGAAAAAGAAAATCTCGAATATGTTATGATAACAAGAGTAACATAATTGAACGAAAGGAAGTTGTGCTAGATCAACAATATTATAATAATCAAACTTATTTTATAGTTTTATAAAAGCTTTTCGATTATTGAAATTTGACTTGGAATAAAACATTCGAAAAAAGACACAAATGATTATTGCAGTTTTGTTTTATGAATTAAACATATTCACTGTCAGCAAGATCAGTAAGGGTATGGGTGTGTGTCTTCTTTTCATACACAGCCACGGCCACAAACCCACACTTGCACACACACCCTCAAGGTTTTAGGGTACCACTAGAAGTATTTCCTACGACTTAGTTTTGAAAATTGTCAAAATGATGTTTTTGCCCGCCTGGGATATCGCCAGGGTTCGAAATTTTTTTTTCTTCAAATATCTTCAGAAGCGTATCATGAAAAAAGTATTTTACCGTTAAATGGGCTCTACAACCGTTGCGCCATATATTAGCCTAACTATATATGAAAAGCTTGTTTATTCCTTTCCAAGGTATGCCCACATGTGCACAAATACTTGCTCCATTTATTCCAAGTCGATTAAGTCATAAAAACAATCGATAAGCAATCGGATTGTTTCAGTCAATTAGAAATATCACACGGAAAGCCGTGATTAACCCTTTTGTGTGAGCTTTTAGTACTACAAAATGCTCGAGTGTCAAGCAGCCATAGATACCATTCGATGCAGTTTTTTATACTGATTCTGAATATGAACTCAAAAATATGAAAACAATTGAACAACATGCTGAAAATGGATAAAAATCCTGCAAACGACCATTTGTGGGCCTTTATTGCTCAATTTATACTCGAAAATTGCTTCGAATTTCAATTTGAATGCCATATTCAGATTCAGCGGACAAAATCGCATCTAGTGATATGCTTGACATAGGTTTAGTAAACAATTTTTGATCGTCCGAAAAACTCGTCTAGGGTCCCCCACGGGAAAAGTTCAAAAGTCGAATGACTAAAAAGCAGTCCAAAGTCTAACAGGAAGGTTCGAAGCAGTATGAAACGTTGATAAAAACTTCACTTAGATTCATTCTGCAGTGTTTGAACCAGGGTGTGGGCGTGAGGTGCAGAGCAAAGGGGGAAACTCATTCCGAGCCATTCGAATGAATTGGAATGGATCCGACTGGATTGGAACGTCTGAGTAGTTCTCCCTTTTCGGTTGACCTTTGACCCGATAGCAGACAAATACTGGATATATGCGTTTGGCTTGGCATGGCTCAAAATGCTGAATGTGATTTTTTCCCCTTGGTGTGGGTATTCATGAAGAGTACATTCCAACAACGACATCCACAACTACCCACACCCCACGCCCACCCATACGCACCCTTGCTAGAATATCGTGCATCAAACCAAGCGCCAAGAATGATAAAATAGCATAAATACACAGAGCCACAAGTTATTAATATCAATACGATGATGGTTATGTAAGCCCAATATCGAATTTGTTGAAGTGTAGGTAGAAGAGCAAAATTTTTATAATTCAGGTGACAATTGTCGATTAATTATTTCTCAAGTTGAATTCTGATGGGTAAGTTCCAAATTTCGAACTTCACTTCGATGGCCGTTATCAACAATGATTCCTTCAATATGTTTGTGTGAAGCTTTGATGGCAAGAGTTAAAAGCGTGTGCATAGTGACGCCGAAAGGAAAGTAAACACCAGTAAAATGATTTACAATGCCTTGGATAATTTGGTAAAGTCGAGTATTATCAATCCACAACCGCAAATCCCAATGAGGAGTACGCAAATCGCACTGATAGGTGTCGCAAAGAAAACTGCTATTAAGTCGAATTACATTCAACCGATTTTGATAATTCTTTTTATTTTATTGGTCTAGAGATAACTATTCAATTCTGAAAAAATCAAGTTTCCATGTATTTTAGTTTACAAGAAATCATTGCAGCAGCAACTACTTAGCTTCTAACACCATCCGTTGGAAGAAGATTAATTTTTGTTTATTAAATTATTTTTTGGCTAGAAGTGTAGAGCTTATCAAGTGCTTTCAAAATATGTTATCATTTTTTGTTTTAGACAAAGTTTTATAAATGAAAAACTATCGACAATGCGCGTTAAGATACTTCCAATTTTTTTCTGTAGAGTTGCATTGATATTACTGGTATTTCGTTTGGAGAAATTTCACTTGAACGAATTTGATTGAGTATCAAAGAAAAATACGGAAAAATTATTTTGAAAAAAAAATAAGTGTGTTTCATAAACTTTGTTAACAGAAAAAATTTATACCAATTAAAAAAATATATATTGGTACAAGATGTAGAACGACTTTTTCAATTTTGTTACACTTATAATTCGATGAAAACTAAACCGTTTGCGACAAAAATTTGGTCCTTTTTTCATCTAATATAGTAGAGTAATCTATCAAAAAATCAAGCGAAAATATTTCTCTGTTCGAGAGAAAATTCAGTTCTACTAACAAAGTGTAGAGCGACATTTTTCGAATTCTCGATTTAATCACTTATCTTTGTATCGTGTATCTCTACTATAGCACAGAAAAGTGTTGGGAAAATGTTATTTTCATACACAATCGACATCCCTCTATCAAATGTAAAACTCAGTTTTCTCTTATGATTAAATTTATTTTTATCGATGGTTTTTCTGGAGCAGTACTGTGGCCATGCTCTTCACTCATGTATATATCATCGTAGAAAATTTCAAGCGTTATATCTTCTAATAGAAAAATATGTTTCAATCATATTAAGAATACAGAAGAAATTTTGAAAAATTTAAGAGCGCAGTTCTTTATGGGCCATCAATTATTACATTAAAGTTCAAACCAGTTAATGATTTCATTAGTCGAGATAAAATCGCGACAATGGTTACTCGACTCACCCTTCCCCTCAAATGAAAGTGTTCCTAAAAACACTAATAAAAGCTTTCGGCTGCCTTTGTATGTTTGATGTTCAACTTTGTTCTTCAATCCTTACATCAGTCCATAACTTGTTGTAAACTCTAAAGTAGTTAGTTTTCATTTTATTTTGAAATGAATATCATATAGAAAAAATGAATTTGTAGACAATAGGAGAAATCATCGCAGAAAAAAAAATAATTTTCTCACTTAATTTACTAAGGCTAGGAAAGATAGAACAACAACAACATCAATATACAAGAAATAAAACATCTATTTTCAGAAAAGTTAATGATATCATTTCAATTCATTGCATGAATTTTGCTTTGTTTGTAATGGTGAAACCAAGAAATTCATACCTTGTAAAGAATGTTTTTGACTTCACCACGAAAACTTTTCGATGCGAACATATTTACATAACAAGTAGTAGAAAATGTTATGTTCGCCACAATGATATTTGCACTTGAAATAAAATCTTCTATTTTGAGTTGTTCAATGCTTTTTATTTGATATTGCGTGATTTGTTTGTACATGAAAAAGATTGGATTAAAGAAACCGAACATAATATAAATAATGATGTCCGTACACAACATAATAATAAATTGTCTGTCTTTCAAATTCAGAATAGTTGTGTTGTTACCCGTAGTATGAGAAGTAGTCTTTACAGCCGATGTCGGTTTCACACGACATAGTCGTGTGCGTCGAAGATTTCGAACTGTTAGTAATGCATCGATGATCATCAATAAACATATAATGGTTCTATTTGCGAATAAATAATAGGCAAAGAAAATCGTATAGAAACCAGGTTGCAAACTACACATCAAAATATTCGGTGCCATCTGTATAATGCTTGTAAATACCAATATATGTATAAGAAACAAGAACCAGAGTACAGTCAACCCACACCCACCAATGCAAGAGAAATTCAACAAGAAAGAACTCATCACGTACGAGCAAGTGAAGTTATCAACATAAGTTTTTTTTTCTTCACATATCCATTCGCAAAGAGAGTAATATCAGTTTCACTTGATTACTAAGCAAGTTTTCTACGACAATTAACAATAAGAAACATGACTTCAACCAGCTCTTCAAACTATCTTATTAATTCACTTACTGTTGCACAACAAAATCTGTATCGAATTTTTGCTCCAATTCTGATAATTATAGGCAGTGTAAGTTATCTAATAAATCTGATCGTTTTTACACGAAAAACTCTGCGTAAAAATTCTTGTTCGGTTTGCTTTGTGACATTAAATATTGTACATATCTTGTTTATGTACTTGGTGTTGGTATTTTCAATACTCCAACAAG